CACCAATAAAATCACATGAAGAATAAACCCATAAGCCAAATAATAGGTCAAAAGGTTTTCATGGTCTAAACCACAGACTCAACAGAATGCCAGTGCTCCGCAGACCAGGTCTATTCCTCTGGATTCCTTGTACCAATAACACAGAATCTGGTCTCCAGTGCATTACTGTCCATTGGCAGCTTGGGTAGAACTGTCCCACCAGAGATGTCCTTCAACACCTTTACTACCTTTTCAGGCTAGTTTTCATTAGTGTGCAAGGGATTGATATTTGGAATGATATTTCCACATGGCATAACTTGCAGAAAGCAGAACTGAGCCCTGAAAGTACCATTAATTTGTGCCTTAAACTATATTTTTAAACTATTAGTTGTTAAACTAATAGTATGATGGATTTTAGTCTCCAGGATTTTCTGTTCCATAGAAGATATTAAGGAACTTCCTCAACAAATGTCTAAATCATAACGTAAATATCTAATTTAAATAATAAACTCATTTTTAATGTGTGATAATGGTTGAACTCAAGGATCCTAGAGGTCTTTCTCAACTTAAACAATTCTATGATTCTGTAAACATTAAAACAGTCCCTCTCCAAACCAATGTTTCACATGGTGAAAATTTGCTCCTTTCCCCTCAACTCTGGATACTGGAGTTCACTAAAATTCAGGAATATGTGTATAAATTAAGATATATAGCCCTGTAATTTCTGCTAAGGAGGTAAGTTATACCCTCCTAAACAAAATAAGATGGTTGCCTGGTGTTTGCCTAAACCCCCTAAGATGACATCTACGGCCCATATGTGACCACATGTGGTATAAATAAAATGGAAGTATAAAAGAGAAAGAGATAAACATATAATTAAAAACAGCATAACAAACACTTGTGCTCATTCATTTTAATGACTGTATGCTCCAGTTTACAGAGCAGTTGCAGACCCACGTCGTAATAGCGGTGTTGACCACATGCCATAAAATACATCAGGGTAGGCTGGGTCCAAATTATTCAATACTTGTAATAAATCCATCCCATTAACTGGATAAATATGCACAAGCAACAACTCTGGCGATAACGCTGGAAAGTGGCATGTTGTTATTTAGCAGGAATGTTAGCTAGGGGGACCTGATAAATAGTAATACCACCGCCTTTTATTAAGAAACAAACAAACAAAAAAGATTAGTTTTGCTTTTAAGATCTCATAACTGTGTCTTTCCTTCCCTTATCTGTAACTTGAAGTGAAAAAAGAGACTGTGGCCTTGAAAGCGTCAATTCTGATTACTTTTTTGTAAGCCTAATAAAGGCATCAGTCATACCATGTATTTGTGAAAATGAAATCTTCATATATTGAAGGTCAATTTTAGTTGAACTAATATAATCACTAAAAGTCAAGGTTCCTTTACCATTAAAATTGTCCATGCTCTGAGTCTTTTGATATTCTATGCTTAACCTTGAATCATGCTGTGTATGTTGTATGCAGGGAGGATAGTGAATTCATGTTACAGTATAATGACTGAGTCATCTTGGCCTTGATTTTCAGCTGGGCAAAGCAGATATCCAAGAAATGCAAGACTTCTTTAAAATTATTTGAAATTAATACACTCTTGAAGTACTTCCTCTCACCTCAGAATAAGCAGCAGGTCACCTAAAGTCTACAAACAGCTTTTCGTTACAGTTTTATGAAATATTTATCATCACTCCTGGATATATTCCTTAAAGTTGAAAGATGGTTACACATAACTAGAGCAAGTATTGATATTGAGAAGCGCTTTGAGGTTTGCACATAAGAAATCACACGATAATTAAATATTTACTGCAGCCTGTGATTAAAATGCTCCCGACCACTGCAGGCTGGCCCTTCCCTGTGCACAGCCCTGCCTCACTGTGCCAAAGCTGTCACACTGGGCTGGCCACGAGGAGGATTTGTGTAGCAGCTCACTACTCACAGGTTGAGTAGGAGAAGTGCCTGCCCTGCTTCTGCCGTGTCAGCTGAGAGGAGGGTGAACCGAGGGTGCGTGGGCTGCTTTGAGAGCAAAGCTTGTCAGAAGATCCACTGGCTAAGCAGCTTATAGGTGATTTCTTCAGGAGGTGCATTCCCCTCAGGGAAAGGGAGTGGAAGAGCATCAAAAATTTGTATTATCTTGCAAAGGTGCAAGATACTTGGCTGGAATCTGGGTGCCATGGTGGCAAATTAGAATTCACTTTGGATAGAGAATACCCAAACTTGAGCTTAATTTTACCTAATGGTCAAACTGATTAAATGCTCATGTTTTCAAGCACATACTTCATGACCTCTGGAGCACTGTGAAAAAGAATAATGCTGTTCCACTGTTTGGGATCCTTACTTAAAGAACAGAAAAGTCACGCTCTTACCTCTGTCCCAACCAGCTCATGATGCCTTGAAGGAAACAGCAGAAAAGATTGAGAAGCTGCTCCCTGAAAGATGATGAATCCTGTGTTCAGTTTTAGGCCTCTCATTGCAAGACAGACATTGAGGTGCTGGAGCATGTCCAGAGAAGGGAACGGAGCTGGGAAGGGTCTGGAGGACAAGTCTGATGAGGAGCAGCTGAGGGAGCTGGGGGGGCTCAGCCTGGAGAAAAGAAGGATCAGGGAGGACGTTCTCACCCTCTACAATTACCTGAAAGGACATTGTAGCCAGGTGGGGTCAGTCTCTTCTCCCAGTTAAGAAGTGGAGGAACTAGCCTCAAGTTGCACCAGGTGAGGTTTAGGTTGGATATTAGGAAAAAATTTCTTCACTGAAAGAGTTGTTAAGCACTGAATCAGGCTGCCCAGGGAATCACTAGAACGTTTTGATTTGTTCCAAAAACTTTCCCTCTCTCTACCTCTTCCTTTTCAGCACAACTATCACATAGTAACCTGATCACTTGCAGTGAGGAATGAAAAGGCAAATCACTGTGATACTGCCAACCCCGGATCAGGGCAGGGTCAGGCTGGATGGAGGCTGTGTGTGAAGGACATTGACCTGAAAGCAATGCCAGGGCAGAGATCTTCACAAGCATGAGTGCCACCTGATTTTTAAAAGAGAGGTTTAATTAAAGAACACATTCAAATCAGTTGGCTCAGAGATGTGTTAAAAGCACCACACACAAAACTGCCAAAAGTACGAAGAAGGGCAGGTTTACAGCAGCGCCACTGCTCGCTCCCATGGAATGAGTTCTGATTTTGATCTGTGTAAACAAGGTTAGACCAAGGCCTGCATCTTATCTCTCAGGGAACCGGATATCTGGAGGTGATATAAAAATATCTATTTTGTGTTTTGAAAGCAGTCCTGCACCAAGAGAGAGTTTGAGAGATTTATGTGCTGAAAGACCTAAAGAAAAGTTGTACAATGGGAAGTGAAAACTAAATATAAAAGGAATCATGGATGTGTAGGCTGAAATGGTCACTCTATTCATGATCATTCCGTTACAGCAAAAGTAATTTTTAACCTATGGATTCCTTAATTTCTTTTTCCCCAAAACCCAGTCCTGTTCCTCCTGAGAAAATGATTAACTACAAGCAAAGGGTATGTTGATTTCAGTATTGATTATCCAGTTCTATGTTTTAACTTTCTTTGCAAAGTGTCAAGTTTAATGCAAGGTCAGAAGAACACTTAATTGCAAACCCCAGGCCAGCAAAGAAAACCTTCTGACGCAGCACTGAGAGTTGGTCCTGGCCACAGAAAACAAACTTTTTAAAACCCTGTTTCAAACTGGTTGGTTCAAACTGATTATTATTATTTTTTCCCCAGGATATCTGCACTCTAGAACTAGAGGCAGTGTCAGCAGTCTATAAATAGACCAGGACAGTATAAACTTTTGAACTGTGAAATCTGGGGGATGTAATCTTCCTGCTAAACAGAGGCTTACAGCAGATATTAAATGCTCTGATGGGACCATCGCCAGTGTTTGAACTGTCTGTGAGAGGAAGGGAAATTCTGAGTTATTGTTAGCACTGTGCACTGCTGTGGCAGTGAGGGTTGGTTCAGAATCCCTTATCCTGGTTGAATAAGATGGTTTGGTTGCTTTCCTGTGTGCATGTTTGGGCATAAACATACTGCAGCCAAACTTACCAGCATTAGATGTCTAAAAAAGAATCCTTTGGGTCATGAACAATTAATTTAGCAGACATTTAGCTGTTATGACACGCTCCTTAAGCAAAGGATTTGTTGGAAGAAGCAGCCTGTATTGCTGTTTGCATCATGATTTTGTGGAGCAATGCTGATTTTCCTCAGCTCAGAGTTTGTTCCACAGGAAATACAACCAGTAAAAGCTTACAGCAGTTTCCCTGGTACTGTCAAGTTCCTGCCTGTCACACTTGGAGCACAAGCAGGACAGTGCTACCTTTTACACAAGAAGTAGCTGAAAAGCAACGTCCCTTCCCAATATAACTATTATGCTATGAATGAACGTTTATGTCATGGCTAAATCCTCACAGCAGTTGTGCTGTATGGAGAAGCTGCTTTTCAGTGATGCCAGTGTGCAGTATGGGCAGTTTGTATGAAGGGGGAATGGAGACCTCTCAGCCCACATTGGGCTCCAGGAATGTATAAAATGAAAAGGCACATGTAACACTTTTTTTTTTTTTTTTTTCTGGTAGCACCTGCACATCCTTGGAGAGTTTTAGGCATCAATATTTTCAAGCAACCATCCTGGCCATGAATTGGACTTTGAACACACAGACCCCCTGACTCCAGGAGCTGGGAGTGCCCACAGCAAGGTTCTGCAGGGTGGTGCTCCCAAGCAGGGCCATCACCAATTAGGAACACCCCCACCACAGCTGCCCTATGGGTGGGTGTGGAGGTTTTTAGCCATGGCCCCACCCTGCCCTACAATAAAGGAGGTGGAATGAGACCCATACGAGTTTGGCTGCTGGAGGGATGGTTGTTGTGGTGCTCCATCATAGAGTTGTAGACACCTGAGGTGTCTACAGCAGGAGCTTGTTAAGGCTGGGCTGCTCAACTCCTCCCACCATTCTCCAACAAGTGTTTTGGAGGAGACCTTCCTGCAAGGTTTGGTTCCCTCAGTGTAAAGACCCAGCAGATGTGTGAGTAACCCAAATGTTATTATGACCTTTGGTACCTCTGGGTTGTGTGAGGGGCTGAATGTGTCAGGGTGGTTGCTGGGCGCTCTGGGGAGGGCAGCCTGGGGGGGCTGAGTGTTTTCCCAGAGACAGCAGCACCTCTGGGTGCTTATTTCCTTGAGGCACTCGTTTTTGGCTGTGGAAATCACTCTTAGTGAGTGGTGGTGGGAGTTTAAAGCCTGCTGGGTTTTCTTGGTGTGCTACAAGTGGAAAACAAGCCAGCTTTGGAAATTAGTGGGTGCTCTACAGACCACTGAAATATGGCCCCAAGTACCAAACACTATTCTCCCCAGTGACTTTTCTATGTAAATTGCTAGAGACAGAGGTTTCAGTTACTTTACTTCTGTAGCTAGACTAACATATTGATTTTTTTTTTTTGCCATCTTTCTTTTTAAACCTGAAGGAGAAATTCAAATAAAACCTAATTATGTCCCTCTGTTTCTGAACAGTTTTGGAAATTGCAGAGCAATCAATATTAAGTACACTTTACACCAATTTAGAGCCCTATTCTGTCCAGACATGTGCTTTATAGAGCTCTGATTTTTGAGTAATTTAGGCTGAAAAGTAGGGTAATGTGGATTTTCCAATTAGCTTATGTTAAGTCAGTGTTCTTCCACCTGAATATTTTTAATAGCTTGGTTTTTAAAAGCATGGGTGTATATATCCAAAGTAGGTGAATAAAAAGGAAGATAATCTTTTCAGAGGGATGAAAGACAAGTGGATTAATGCAGAGTTTGAGATTTTGTGAGAAATTCAGGCATGCAGGCTGGTGCTGCAGAGAAAGCTTCTACTTGTGAAACTGTCACTTGTTAATTAAGTTAATGTCTACGGTGCTCTGAAAATGTAAAGCAGTATGTAAGTGCTAAGTATTATTATTAATGATGCCAATTTTGACAGGTTTACTGGAATAGGCTTTGCAGTACAATATAAGCTAATGTTCTAATGCTTTACTCATTTACAATGAAACTGTTACAAATAAGAAAGTGGGAATAGAAGGCCAGCAAAGGCCAGCAGACTAGATGGAGTCTCATTTAGTTTTCTCTTCAAGCACTGACTGGGAATAAGGTTAAAGATAATGTGGAGCTGTCTTGCCATCTTCTAGAACTCTTTGGGGAAAACCTCAGGCATATGATGGGCTGCACCAGCTTATTGTGACTTCCAGTTGTCCTTTTAGGAGATCTGTTGGACCTCCAGAGCTGTAACACAAACTGCTGTAGCCATATGGCCAGTGTGTCCTGCCTGTCACCTACAGATTCATTCCCGTCCCAGACTACAAAAGGGGAATGGGGTGTGGTGTCAGCCCTGTGTACCCCGAGTACTTTCTCCTCTAAAAGAAATCCCCAGTGGCCAGTTAATTGGGTTTGTTGCCCTTGCCTTTCTGAAGGGGTTGCAGCAGGAAAAAAGAGGTGGTTCTGGTGTTGGCTGTATTGGTATTAGTGCCCAAATAAGTGCAGAAAGCCAGTCAGTAATATATATAAAAGCATATATTAAAAAAGGTGAGTAAATTATCCTTCACATTTCACTGAGTCATAGTAGTTTGCATGTCGTTTGGATATGGAAGCATAGCTGCACACCAGTATCTGACCCAGTAAATGGAACAGTGTCCTCAATGTCTTGGGCTTGTTTCCTGTAGTAACTGTAGACATTGCTTTTTCTCTGAGCAAAGCTATGAAACGTGACCTGTAAAGGGAACAGCCTGCTCTTCAGATGTTTTTCTTAGATGCTCTTTAAATTAATTTTTCATTGCCAATCTTAATTCTCTCCTGTCTCGGTGGCTTTTCAGTGAGGAAAACGTTGTGCAGTACACAACAAATCGTATAGAAATCAGAACTGGGGTGTCTTCATGCAGATGTCTCCTTCAGGTTTTCCCTTTCAAACTTAAAGTAATTTCACAAAACATCAAGTCCAGTAGATGTCCTACTGGCATGGTCAGAGTGGTCTGTTTAGCTTGATTGCTGCAGGAAAAATTGATGGATTCTTTAGCAGTTTGGCTTGGTTCTGCTAATGTGTCGGGAGTGCACGTGCACACACACCTACACTCAGCAGTTCCAGCCATATGAGACCAGCCACTCCACTGCCTAATTAAATTCATTTACTGGCTGGCAGACACTCCACCTTTCAGTGCCATGTGGATCCTGGTTGTGCTGGAGGAACTTTAGGGCCAGTTGTTTTGTTGTCTGTTAGAGACTAAATTGTTGTATCCTCATTTAATATGAACTTTGGTATCGTGCCGCATTAGTCAAAGACTGCAGGCAGTGTTGGAACAGGGATGATGTGGTTGCTTTGGGGGCCTGGGAAATCATCCCTTTGAAAAGTAACAGAGCAAGGGAGATGGACTCTAATAAAAAATCTAATTTTTTTTTGCCTCTTACTGTGTCTTCAGTCAGTCACCTTAGAGTTGGACTTGATCAAAGGCTGCTGGGAAACAGCCAGGACTTAGTCCTTCTTATGCATTCAGAAGAGTGAAAAGTAATATTTTGTCTTTTTAATATTGGTCAATGATGTAGTGTTATGAGAATACTGCACTCTTGACAAGATAAATTTGGGATCTGAGTAGGAATGGCTGTCTGGAACCAGTGCTTTCATCTGTCAGAGCATCTAGAATAATAATTATCCTCCTCTGCAGGCAGGTAAGAAGGAATGAAGCCTTGGGTGGGAAGGTCTATCAGTTCACCCCAATTTCTTGCTCTTCAGTCAGGTGTTGTAAAGAAGTCTTGAAACATCTTAGGGGGCAGCTTTGAACTGCTGCTACTCAGGCCACAAAGAGGGGTTTCTGCCTTGGCCTTCTCTGAGATGACTCATCTCTTGATATCCAGGTGTCTCCTGAGCCAGATGGTTTCCTATTTACAGTATAGCAGTGCTGGGATTTGTAAACTAAGTAGGCTCACACTATTGAGACTCTGTAGCCTATGCAGAAAAGAAACAAAGCACCACAGCAGAACTAAAAGTAAGAATAGGCTCCAGCAGTTGCTGTTGCTTTAGTGTGGAAAGAGAGAGGATGGCTGGATACTGAAACTGTAATAAATATCAGTTGTATTGAGATCTGAGTCTATCCTTAAAAATATAACAAAGGCAAGCTTCTTGCCCTTTTCTAAAGTGCAGTAATGGGCTGTAATTCTAAAGCAGGTGTATGGGCATTGCTTTGCATGCTCTGCTTACGTAATATGGTGCAGCTTGTACCTGAACCCTGGCATCAAAGCACAATAGTCAGAATAGAGAGTCCTTAGGCATCACTGTCTATTATAAATCAGTTAGAATAATTCATGCTATAGATTTCCCAATGCTGCAGAGCCTCTTATTCAGTAGAGTATAAACATATATCACATCTTAGTTTTTTTTTTTTTCCTTCTTGGAGTGAGTCAGACTTAGAAAATTCTGCGAGAGAAGAAGAATGCATTGTACGGACAATTCCCTAAAAACCTTCATAAGTAGGAGGTGGAACGGAAGGATGTTATTTAGCTCCAGGATTGTTTTAACAGCTCTGGTCACACCTTCGTTATTAAGTTTGGAGCATGTTGTGTAAGAGCCAACAATAAGCCTGTGTGTGGAGCATACAGGGGCTGTGTCTGGAATCAGGCTGAAAATGCAAATAGGAGTTTCTTTCCTGGTTTGGTTTCTCAACACAAGTTAGAGCAGCTTGCACCAACTGGTAAAGGCTGCAAAGGGCCATTTTGCCAGCTGGGAGGTGCAAGGGTGTAATAATGCTGCTGGCTCCTTGCCTGTGCCAGCCACAGGGAGGAGAGTGGCAGAGAAGCCAATGTCTGTCTCAGTGCCACTGAAGAGGAGAGATTTTTCCACAAACCAGGCTTAAAGACAGCTTGTACCACTTGGGAGTGGGGCATTATGGATCTAAAGTATCCAAAGTCCTGCCATGAAATATTTATGCTGTGACTTCCTGTGTGCTTCATATCACTTGCAAAACCCTAAAATTTCCAGGACCTCCCATTAAATTCAACTGATTTAAATCATGAAGCACCGCTTTAATGCGCAGTTCTCCAGGTTCTGATAAATGGCCTTGGGGAGTGAAGGAGTTAACTGACCATCATCAATTACAGCATCAGAGGGGGTGATTAGGACTGAAATTGCAGGGAGGTTTTTAATTTAGCCGAGTAGAGGAGACTCCCTCAGCTTAGCCAAGCTCATCAGATCATACACGTCTTACAGCCTCATCCGCTTACCATGCGCTGCCACTCAGGGCTATTGTGCATGGAGAGGGCACCGAGCAGACACCATGATATCATATTATTCCCTTGTCCAGAAATCCACCTGAGACTCACTGACACTCTGCCTGCCGCACAAGTGCCTCGCGTGCAAAATTCTCCAAGACCCCCAGATCAGGAATCAATCAGCAAATTATGTGGAGGGAGAAATGGCACAGTTTTGAAGCTTAATATGAGCTAATTTTTTTTTTTCCCTGATGAAGTAGCTAGGACTACTTGTAGGAGTAGAAATGTGTACAGGGTGATGTGTTAGGATCAGGTAGGAATCAGTTGAATACTTGTATTTTGCTTGGTCCTGTATGTATTCAACACAAATTAGGTGTACAGAGTAATGTATAGACAGCTTTAATTTCTCTAGTATGTTTTCCTGGTAAAATTGATTACTTGGGACACTTTGGTCGTTGCCTTGGAAAAGAGCATCAGGCTTCAGCCCATGAAGAACTGCAGGAGGGAGGAGAAAGGGCTTTTACCCCTGACATGAGGCTTTTTCGGGAGTTGCAGTCATGGGCTGCTGGGACCTTCTGGGTCACCCTGGGGCTGCTCTATTCCCAGGGTGGGGGGTGCCAGCTCCACCCAGGGACTGGCCATTGTCACTGGCTTGATACATGCTGATTGTCAGGGCTGTAAAATGCAGGAAGGGAGAAAAAGAAAAAACATCCCAACTTGCACTGAACCCCATGTTTGTCTGCTCTTATTTTTTATTTCTGGTTTCTGCCACTGTTACCATTTTCTTTGAGTCCTTTG